GTTGATTTTTTATCTCATCTGTATACAGTGTTTAATCCTTCAATTCTGGGGTTTATGCTGACGAATCGGTATTTCAGGTTGACGTGATTGGAACGATGCATTTCTGGGGACTGACCCTGGATACCGTATCCTGCGTGATTCTGGTGATTGCCATCGGGCTTTGCGTGGATTATTCGGCCCACATGGGCCACACTTTCATGACTCTGGCTGGCGATAGAAAAACAAGAGTCAGGGTGACGATCGAGGAAATCGGACCCGCCGTTTTCCACGGAGGCTTCTCCACTTTCATAGCCTTTGTGTTGCTCAGTGGATCTGAATCATACGTTTTCACCACTTTCTTCAAGGTACGTGACGTTCTGTATACTTTAAATACTGTGCATGGTCGAATCAGATTTTTTTCGTATCCGCATGTATGCTCGGAGGCACGGGCATTTTCGGTGCAGTATATAAACAAGGACCCTCAAGATACAGTTGTTTTCGAAATATCGATGATGCCAGGATTTTTGATTCTTCTCGATTTTTAAAAATCTTTGCCGTGCCACAATTTTCCGATTCCTTTCGTTGAAAACTGCAACAGCTGAATTATAGCATTCGTCAGAAAATCTGAGATAAATCGCACTCTCCTTTCCTATGTGCAAAAACTTCGCTATATTGCTGAAATATGGTACAGTACACAGTACTACGATTTCTTTCTTCGCGCAGATTTACTAGCGTCGGCAAAGATTTCAGAAATTTTCGAATAATGTATGTCAGAAATCCGCAAAACTAAAGGCGGACTTTTTTCTCAAGGGCCTAAAGATGTTCTTGGACGATGTCCGAATTTCCCTTCCTATTACGAGTATTTTAGTTGTTCATCTTCCATAAAAAATAATGTCAAAGTATTTCAGATTTTTGCAATTACAATAACACTTCCTGAGATCCAAGCATCCCTGATGATTTATTATTGTGCTGGGTCTACATAAAAGACAGTGATGGAAACGGTGATTCAAAATACAGTACTGTATAAAGTTCGGATTTTGTTACCCTTTATAAAATTGCTCATCCTTTCTATATTTCATTTTTAAAACTTTTGTTCTGAATCCACCCACCCTTTTTATCAGCATGTTTCACGTTTGCAAGGGATAAAAATTTTGTCGAACTGTTATAATTATTTTATTACATCTGCTGGGTTTGTAACCGTCTTGGTTTCATGAGATTAAAAACAATTACCTGGGATGAACGCCTCCAATTATATGGAGGGATTAATTAAAAGTTCTGATAATCTGGATCTGCATGCTTTAGATATTAAAATGCACGTTCCTCGTAAGTTCCAAGGACCAGAAAAAACGGAGAGAATCCCTGCATGTATCAAGGGTTGAGAAAAAAAATCGTGCATAAATGCTTATGCAGAAAATTGGTGTAGACGAGAGAGAGAAAAGAGAGAGAGAGAGAGAGAGAGAGAGAGAGAGA